GCCGGTCTGCGACACTGCATGCCAATGCCTGGGCCCTGACCAGAGCTGTTGTGGGGAGGCTTGCGGTACCCAATGCTATCCCAGCAGTTCCGGAGATTTTAGTACCCTGATAGCAGCCTTGTGGTACAAGTACTCTGACATTTTCAGTGGCACCCTGATGCTGGCCGTTCAAACCTCAAATTCTGATGGGTAAGCCACAGAGTCTCAACCCTCCTGGATCTATGAGGGAAGCTTTAGCTTCGGGACTCGCCTCTCTGCGGTCAGCGACAGCTCCTGCAACAGCACGGAGCTTTTCCGGCTGGCCTCGTGCAACATAAGGGCTGCATGCTTCGAAACTGAATGAACTCTTCGTGGGAAGTTCTACGGCGATCAGAACCGTCTGCCCACAACTATCCATCAACGCTGACGTGCCAGGTTCATGGGCTGGAAGCCCTTCGCCAGGGCTTGCATACTGCATCCCTTATGAAAGCCGGCTCTTGGACAATACGGGCAGTAAGGGACCTGAGGCCAAGGACCATACGGTTTAATTAGGTTTTAAGGATCAGGGTTTAGGGGTTTTGGGGTTAGGGGTTTAGGGTGCTACTGCAATATATGCAAATATTCCATCTAACCACCTAGACTGAAGCTCTTATTTATGCCCGGCAAAGTCCTTCAACAGTTCAAAGGGTCAAACATGGTCAAATCAACTGGTTTGCCAGACTGATGGCTTCATGGTTTATGCCTGCACAGGTTGCTTATTGCCGCCGAAGTTCGTAAACCTGCTAACGAATCGGGACTCGCACCGAAACCACTCATCTCATCTACATATTACGTATCTCCATCGCATTTTGGCGGGTGTGTTCCGTATACGCCTTGTAGTTATCGTAAAGTGTTGGCCTTGCTGTATCCTTCCACCGAAACGGTGGCTCATAGAAACCGGCAAGAGTCTTGCCTTTGTTCAAACCATCTCTTCCCCATGTTGCTCTTATACGAATTCTTCCTCATCACGACTCAATGAAGCCTTCCTTCAATACGGAGGCAATTCGACCCCAAATGCTACATCTTGCAAAATACTATGCGTACCACCAATTTCGGACCTCCGGCGGTTCGTCCGTAGAGGAGCTAGTGCCTCCACGGTTCCAGGCCCGGCGCTTATGGTTCAGGACTCGGGGCATAGCGCTTAGGCGTTCTGAATCGCTACTGAATCGCTATTGAGTTCTGGGATTTCGGGTAGAGCGCTGAGCGGGCAGACATGGAGTACAACGGCAAAGGGCCGGGTATCGATTGGTATCAGCAGCTCCATGCACCCGCATACAGCAAACCCGAAAGCCTGTACCCAAAACCCAACGACCTCGGTTATTCAGGGATGGGCATTTGTTTCAGGTCCGAGCGCTTGAGAACTGCTGCACAGAGGCATGTACCACCGTTAGTTTGGGGCAACTGCGCGGTGCTTGGGGTTTGATGTCAATCTCGGTTCTGGATTGGAATGTTGAGGGTGGTTTCATGTAAACCCTTCACAACCCTCAGACAACCTCTGACATCTTTATACAAACACATGTATATATATATATATACACACACTTACATATACATATATATGTATATAAATGCCTCCGGGACCTTATTATTGGGTCCTTCTGGGGTCCAGAACCCGAAATATGAGGTCCTTGGAAGGATAGGGTAAACAATAAACCCCTTTTCATCCAGGCCTATTGCGACTGCCGGGTATCCCAAACCATTTTTTGCATCCAGGCCTCTTCGAACTGCGGAGGAGTACCCTACAAGATCGATCTAAGCAAGAAAGTACCCCAAACCTTAACCCTATGCCTCCAGGGACCTTATTATGGGGTCCTTCAGGGGTCAAGGGCCCTAACTATGAGGTCCTTGGAGGGATAGAGTAAAACCCTAAACCCTAAACCCTAACCCCGAAACTCTAAACCCGAAACGGCACATCGCAGGCAAAGGGCCCAAAAGGCCGCTGGCCGCGGCGCCCGCCGCGCTGGCAGCCGCCGAAGCCGCGGCGGAGGCCAAAGGCCAAAGCCCCTGCGAAGCCGGGTGCCTTGGCCCCAATACCAGGGATCTATAGGGATCTATAATAAGGGATCGAAAAGGGATCTATAAGGGGTTTTAGGGTTTGGGGTGCCTTGGCCCGCAAAACAATGGGTTTAGGTTTAATAGTTTTTTATGGGTTTTTTTGGGGGTTAGGGGTTCAGTGTATATAAGGTTTAGGGTGCCTTGCCCGCCAATACAAGGGTTTATGGTTTTAAGGCTTATAGGTGTTTAGGTTTGGAGGTTGAAGATGTTTGCTTCCTCCGTTGCTGCACGCGGCGGGATGAAACAAGACATGTAGTCAATGCAGCATGAAATACAATAAGGGTTGGGGATGCATCATTCACAACTAGGGCAAGACTGGAAGTGTTTACGTTCTAGGATTTCAGGGCCATAAAGCTGTATAGGGTTGAGGAAAATGCACGCTGGGTTTGTTCATAATAATGGGGTCGAGAAGATTTTCACATAAAAGTTATAATGCGGACAGAAAGAAACTCCTCCTCTTCTTGAACCCATGCTCTGTGCTATCTGCTATCAAGAATCTCCTCCTCAAGCCCTAAACCCTACTCATCTCTCTTGCAGAGAGCCGCGCAACCGATCTGTCCATGCCGAAAAGTCCACCCCCTCAACCGTATGTATCCAAAACCCCTGCGTACGTGATTTGAGGTGTAGGAAACTGAGGGCCGAGGTTAGGCCCGTCACCATCCAGAGCATGTGAGGGGTGAGGTTGGAGGGTTTGATGTCTGAAGCTTGCATGCTGAGGGTTTGGGTCCGTCGCCCTCAATCTGGTCACTTGTGTCGAGGAGCTCTAGTACACTCCATGTGCGATGATGTTGCGTGGAGGTACCTCTCAATCCATTTGAGCAGGTTTAAGTTTATTGGCAGTGTGGTGCTTTAACAACTTCGAACGTACAGGTAGATATGGTACTCTCAATCACAGGCCCTGCGTTCACAAAAGCTTGGTCTTGGACATCGTCATTGCCCGTGTAGCGATCGTCACCACACCTGGGCATTCGCAACCCGAAGAGCCGTGTAGAGAAGCTGCTCCACTCAAAGGGAGACGTAATGACACCGTTTTGTGTTGAAGGCTCCATTGCGTATCCATGTGCCCTGGGATGCCCTGCGAGAACACCTCTTCAGCTGCACTATACCTCACCTGTCTGAATGCAAAACCTTGAGGCTCAGCGCGATATCTGGGGCCACAAGCCTTCAAGACATGAGCCCTTAGAGCCTTCGGGATGCAATTAACTCCTGAAAGTCCCAAAACCCAGATGCATCCTCACGGTGAAACCTTAAGACAAAATCAGATGTGAAGCCGCAATGTCAGAGTCTCTTTGCTACTCACTGAGGCCCACTCTTGTCGGTGTGCTGGCAGGATCCGCTGGCTTTCTCGGGCCATCTTACGACGAGGCTCCGAGACTGTCCTCTATTACTGCTATGAACGGCTTGGTGCTGCTGCTGCTGCAGCAATCGCTGTCATGTAGCTGGGGCAATGATGGCAAAGAACACCTACATTCGCAACTGCCACCAGCAACCCTGCACACTGGCACAGGGAGCTCTGACCCGAACCATGCAGCTGAAAGTGCCGCAACACCTACCACTTGATTGAAGCTCCCAGACCAACCCCTAAGAACCCAGTGTCAGACATCTAGCTGCAAAAGTGTGGTATATCGGTACACACACACACACACTATGCACATTTCTCTGTACATACACACACACACATATATATATATATATATATATATATATGCACCTTATGTGTAGTTCACGTGTACACAGCAATAGACTTGCTCTGCCTGTGCTGGTTCGGAACTGAACCAAGTCTCGCATGATCTTGAGACACTTTGCGGAAGGTGGCCCACGGGCATCGGAAGACCGGCGAGCGCAACAAGTCCATGCCAGTTTTACAAGGCTACGTAGCGGCTACGTAGTGCTGCGCATGCGTCTACACCTGTATATAGTTTTCGAGATTTCGTACTATGAAGAATTACTGTACTGATCTGCTTCTGCGTGGTACAGAGGCTATGTCCACTCGTCATGGAAACTGTTTCGATGCTGACCCCCACATCTCTGTCTCCAAAGCAATGGTCTATGAGAAATGACCCATCTTGTGCCATCCCCGGTGCAGTGGAAAGTCAGGGGGTGCCAGCCAGATACTTGGAGGTTCATGGGTAATTATAAGTGGAGCTATAAGTCCCTTAATATGGGTTATAACTACAGTTACCCTACCTATAAGCCCACTTATAACTACCCATGAACCTCCAAGTAATGACGTCCAGGGTCACTCAATTAACCGATTGGAGGATGGGTCGACGGGGTTCAGCTATGACGCCAATCTGTTAGGACAGCAACGCGAAAGGCTCAACAGACTGTCTTGAATGGGAGGGCGTAGTGGCTTTACTGGAAACCGTCAAGAATGGAAACTACGTTCTACCATCGACTGTTCACCCACGAAAGCCCAACGAGGATTTACGCGAATCATCATAAGCAACACCAAAGCTATGCATATCCGTGCATACACCCTCACTCATATGCCCAGAGACTCCGATATCCCTTAATCAAGGAATATTTCTTAAATCATATTCGGGATCCTACTTTCATTTTAGATATATTCCTTTATTAAGAGATATTGTTGGAGTCTCTGGGTGGAAAGCGGAATATTCCTCAAATCATATTAGAGATCCTACTTTCATTTCAGATATATTCCTTAATTAAGAGATATTGGAGTCTCTGGGTGGAAAGCTGATACGAAGGCGGAATCCTGTGGGTTGTCAGACATATCTCTGACATAGAACTAAGCCGTAAACCCCCTAAACTTTAAATGCGGTCTAGAACCCCTAAACCCCCTGAGCCCTTTAACCCGGTAAGGCTATGCAACCCTGACCCTCAATCCCCAAAAAACCGAAGCAAGACGAGCGGAATCTGAGAGTTCGGATAAAACCCCGATGCGCTAAGCGAGGCAGGTTGACGGTCGCGGTCCCTGGCCATGGAGTTTTGATAGTGTAGGGTTTATAGGGCTGAGGCTTTATAGTGCTCAGGATTTATAGGGTTCAGGGTTCAGAGTTTAGACGGTTTATGGTTCAGGATTTTTTGTCAGGCATACAATGTTGATTTGTAATCTCGTGTCCTTCCTCCTGCAGAATGGTAAGCCCATGTCGACACCGTCCGAAGAGCAGGCGATGTTTGAGTCATTCGCAAACCTCACAGGAACAGCACACTTTGTAATCCCGAGTCTCGGTGTGCTTCTCAAAGGCTCCCGATTGACCCTTCTCCATGAGGCACGAGCAAGATACACTATATCTGTCATGGACGGGTGACCAAAAACCCTCAACTCTACTTACTCTAAACCTAAAAACCCTACATTCCTATAGACCTAATCCCAAACCCCTTTGCATCCAGGCCTATTGCGGCTGCCGGGTACCCTGAAGAAAGGAAACTGAGGGAATCCCAAACCCTGAAGCCCTAAACACTTAAATCCTCAACCTCGAAGTCTCCAAGTCTTAATCCCTAAACCCTAACGCCCTAAACCCGTAAACCCTAAAGTCCTAAAGCCCTAAACCCTAAAGCACTAATCCCCAAATTCGAACTCCCTTCACCCTTAATTCCTAATCCTGGGCCCTAAAGTCCAAATCTCTAAACCCTTGCTTCCTAAATCCCGAGACCCCGAGCCCTAAAATCTCCGCCTGTCTCGGTTGCGCTCGCGCTCCTCACCCCGTCGCCGACTGCGACTGCGATCTCCTCCTCGGCGCTTTTCCTCGCGATCCTGTGCATTTAGGGTATTAGTGGCTTTAGGGCTTTAAGGGTTTACGGTTTAGGGGTTTTAGGAGGGTTTTACGGGCTTTGGGTTTCAGGGGCGTTAGAGCTTTAAGGGTTTAGGGGTTAAGGGGTTTAAGGGGTTCAAGTCTTTAGGGTTTGGGGGGGAGGGTTTAGGGGTCTGGTAACACAGGGTTGATGAAGGGGTTTCGACAGGGAGTGGTTTAGCGTTGTAAAGCGGCATTAATGAGGTTCTTGTACATTTTTTACAAGGGTTTAAGGGTTGCTTTGGGGTTTGGGAAGGTTGCCATTGGTGCATATAGGTTTTATAGAAAGTATGACGTAACTTAGCTTCTGGTCTACTGCATAGGATAAGAGAACCGATTCATTCGAAGCCGACCCCGCGATGCAGGCTGCACAGCCGCTTGGCTGACGCGCCAGCCCCAACCCGGGTTTGTAGTTGAGGATTTCGGGTAACAGTGCATGGAGGGCTTCAATATTCCACAGCTCAGACTTGTAAGGTTCACTGGAAGCCCTGACACCTGCAACACCAAAGCACCAAACCCTTTTTGAGCGCCAGGCGCGGTCTCTGTCCCGGCTCCTCTCGCGATCCTCCGAGCATTTTACGGTCTCTTAGGGTTCTTTTGTAAGGGTTCTATCAGGGCTGCAAAAAAGGTTCTATGGGTTTGACAGGGTTGCAGGGTTGTATGCTTGCCATTGTAGCATCACGGGACTTCACACCCTACTTGGATCTACGGGTCGATGGGTTAAGGTCCGCCCTAGCCCGAAACTCAGACCCTTAGAGATTCAACAGCTTGGGTTACAGGAATTGCAAGCAAGGTTTGCGGGCATTTGGGAGGTTCCGAAAATAGGGGACCCTAATATAGCACCCTAAATAGTAGCATCCTTATTATAAGGACCCCCAAATAAGGTACCCCTAATTGTCGGAAACTCCCATTTGGTTTTCAGGTCTCCTGGTTGCTGGTAACCATTTGATGCTATCGGCTCCCAGGGTCCTTGGCCCGGCTCCGTGATTCTGAAGATGCTACTTGGAGGATCATGGGACACAGTAAGTAGGGTTATAAGTACCTTAATTGAGGTTATAAGTAAGTATAACTGTAGTTACATTACTTATAGCCGCTATTACTAAGACCCATGATCCTTTAAGTAGGACACGAGGTGGTTCCTTACCCTGTCGCATCAAGCAGAAACTCGGACGCGCTCAATACCCGCAGTTCAAATATACAACCTTGCAAAGCTGGGATTGAACTGGCCAATCAAGCTAACCTGTGTTTGTGCTAGCATCGACCAAATCTCACCACGAAGCCGAACCTGGGGCCCGCTTCAACAACATTCGACGCCTGCGCAAGACCTCCTGATATGGGTCCTCGGTTCAGTGGTGGATGTCACCCAAAGCCTGAACTTAGAGCCTGTCCTAAGCACTCCAGGTAAACTGTACCTCGTTTTGTCATAGCTATGACGATTGGCATAGTAGGTTTCACATATCCCTTTACTTACATGGGAAGTGAAATCAACCTCTGCGCGTGCATCTTATGTGCTTTGGTAGCTGGAGATCTAGACAAACCCTGCGATGATGTCCTTCCCGTCCCGATCGCGGTCATCACGAGTTTTTGTTCGCTCCGGCTCCTTTTCCTGCAGAGGACACCGACCCCGCGCAGCCCAACACACCTGAGTGAGACCCGAGCCTTCAAGACCCCGGAACCCTACACATCTGTTCACGAAAGCCCTTTTTACACCTGGACTACGCATATGCCAGGAACTGAGGGGCCGACTGTGCTGTGGGCTCGTGAAGCCCTAAACCCTCAACATCCCTCAACCCTAAAGAGGTTTTAAGTGAACAAATTGTAGTGTGCACTGAATTCAAAGCCCTTTTCGACCCATCTTGGCAAGAGTCTTTGCCTCGTCATGGTAGAACGGAGTGGGCAAGACCTTTACATAAATCCCTTAACAAAACCTTTAAAGGAGGTATCAGATGTCTGAGCTAGGAATACAGGTTCGAGGCTGAAAAGGGTCCAGCTGGCTGGTTTGGACTCATCCGCTCGTCCGGCTGAGCGTTGCTGTTCTTGATGTTGGCCAGATACACTCAACTTATGTGTGAGGATGCCTACACTAGTTTGTAAAGCTGCTCGATATGACCTCTACCGCTCATCTCTCTAAACCCGCTACCCTGAACCGATCTCCCACCACCCTCACCCAACCAGCCTTCTTCTTTGGAGCTTCCTCCTCCTGCAAACGCCAGCTGACAACCGGGCAGTTTCTGGGGTTTGGAGTCTAGGGTTTGCTGAAACCCCTAGTGTAGCGGCCTCAATGATTACCTATACTATTTTGAGGGTTCCTTGTTATAATTATAATTACACAACATAATTGGCCCCAACACCCTATTCTGATTATTAAGGCCCCTATATTCGTCGCAGGACGGAAACTGAGCCATGAATTTTCAAGCAAGCCCACCAAACAACCAACGAGATGCTTAGGAACCGTCCCCAGGCTCTTGTGGCCCTGCAGTCGAACACTGTCGGATCCTGATTGAAAGCTTGCTTGAACTAGTAACACTACCTAGATATATCAGGCCAAGTCTTCAGCGTCAGGGAACTGGCACTGTAAGGCTGTAAGCTACCCTAACCCCAAAAAAGACTGCCCTTTTGAACTAGAGTAGGATTATATAAACCCGAAGGGGTTAAAGGTTACCTACTCAGCTACTAAGTAAGGGTGATGGACCCAGCCTTCTTCTTTGTGGTGGTCTTCTTTTTCGGCGGAGGCTCTGCCGACTCGTCTCGCTTCCTCGGAGAAGTTGCTGACAGTCGGCTTGGGCTTCGAGGTAAGAACTCTTGCACTTGAGTCATATGGGAGTTTCCGAAAATAGGGGACCCTAATACAGTACCCTAAATAGTAGCTACCCTAAATAGTAGCATCCCTATTATAAGGACACCAAAATAAGGTACCCCGAATTTTCGGAAACTCCCATATAGGGGCCTTAACAATTAGAATAGGGTTTTGGGGATATTCTAATCAAGGGTTTGTAATAAGGAGCCCCCCGAAATAGTATGGGTAATTATTTAGGCCCCTATGTCATGTGCGAGCGTCAAACAACAAACTCATATAGTCAAGTGTTGCGCATGTTGGTGTGTCAGGCCTCAGAAAGTCAGCAGCAGGCATAGGTCCCAAAGGAAACGCGCTAGTGTAGTATTTACACATGTTGCCACTTGCCGCAGCTTGGATTGCAGCATGAGAAGCACTTGTGGTGCAGTTGCAACACCAGGCTGGAGCGGGGGGGCAACGGCAGTTCTGGTTGTCGTGGTGAACATGCGATGTCTTGCTTGGCGAAGACGGCTCAGGGCTGAAGCAAACGGTGCACGGAATATGTGCGCAGTACGAGGGCTTTTCGGGTTTGCTGACGGACGGAATAACTGACTGACCGACCCGATGACCAGCCAAACAGAGACCAAACGGACAGACAGACAGACAGACAGACGGACAGACAGACAAGCAAACCCACAGACGGATCGACCGACCACTGACCACATGGGTGACCCAAGTTAGATGAAGAAGTGGCCTGGCTGGACGGAAGGAATCAATGCCTGAATGAACTGAATGAAGGAATGCATGCACGAATGAAGCCATAAATGGGCCAATGAGTGTTTAAACAACTGAATATGTCAAAACATGAATGAACACTGTACACACTAAACAAGTTATCATTGCCTCTATCAGAAGATCAGAGTGCTACCATGAACTCATCCAAATCGTAGCGAGCATGGTCATGCTCACAGCCATGGACCGCATGCCCCAGACCCAGCAACAGAAACATCGACGCAATAGTAGCGAGGCTTGCCCTTTGAAGTTAAGGTCTAGGTGTAGACTGCATCAGGCTTTGATGTTAGGGCGGACAAGGTTCAGAGTTTTGGGGTTCATATGGCAGTTAATTAACGTTTACAGTGGTTGGTGGGTCCGTAAGGTTTGGGGCTTAGCAAGCCCAGAAGCTTTGTCTTGGAGACCTCCTTCTTCTTCGTGGGCGTGTCTGCCTTCAGGGAGCGTGCGTTGAAGGCAGGAACAATCATGAGCACAGAACATACCTGCGTCGGATTGGATTCGAGCGCGGTAGTTGAAACTTAGGTCTGAAACCCCGGCAAAACTCTGATCATTCGTACAAAGCAACAGCAGGCTATTGTCGTAGTCAGCCTTCCGCTGCCTTTGCCGACCCAAGAACCAGAAAAGCCCGAACGAGGGCTTGTGATCCATGGTTTACTGAGCTTTCTCAGCATTTTCTTCTCCGCCTTGGGAACCTCATTATTACTTCAGGAGCCTGAACAGTTCGATGATGGAGTCGGGACATGTTCTCCTAGAGGCAAGGGTGCCGCTACCAACTGTTGCGAGCATTGCAAGCCCTACAATACAATCCAATACAATAAGATGATAACATACGATGCGATATGATATTAGAACATTGCATTGTGAACAATAACAGGACCTAACAGAGAATAACAAAACATAAATAACATCATATGGCATAACGTAATGTATTATGCTTAACTGCGATATATTCGATGGTGATATAGACTATGGTATATTGTAAGATGTTACAACATGCTATATTGTGTTGATAGGTAATATAGTTCGCCTCCTTCTTCTTCGTCACAGTCTTCTTCTTGGGTGGAGGATCGTCGTCCTCGGAGTCGTCCCTCCTCTTGGTCTTGGAGTCCTTCTTCTTGGATTCCACCTCAATTCAGGGTTCAGGGTTTAGGGTTTAGGGATTAGGGTTTTGGTTTAGGGTTTAGGGTTTAGGGTTCAGGATTGAAACATTCCCTAAGATTGCTTATAATTAGGGCTCTACACTAAACAATAAAGGAAAGCAAAAAAGAGCCCAAACCGATACCTAGTGAAAGACTAGGCCTGCCCATGTAATAGCTCAAATCAGACGGAATATGCTCGAGGTAAGGGCATCTTCCTAGTACCACGCAAAAAAGGATATGGAAGGTTCAAATAATAAGCGACCAACGAGTATATGTGGAGACGGGAATCCTGACTGCTGTGACCCCAAAGAAGGCTACCGCGCTTAAAAGAAACACACAGATAAATCACGTTCGGACAGAATCCCTTTCCACTCCCTCACTGCGCAAAGTTCAAGGCTTTGGAAGCGGAAGCTCATAGAGCTGGAGGGTTTAGACGTTGAGGCTTTAGGCATAGGCTTTGTGGCTTAAGGTTTCCGCGTTTCGTAGCTCAAGGCTTCGAGTCCGATACCTCACGCCTAATGTATTCCGTGGGTGATGCAAGCCCAAAGAACCAGCCTTATAGTGGCTATATATTCATCTGTGCTACATGGGAGGGGAAAAAAGAAGTAGCTTGAATATCTAGACTTGGGCAGTGGAGCTCCTCCCAGGGAATACTACTTTTCTTTCTATTCAAGCAATTGAATTACACTATCATAAACCACCCTTTGCAAACTCGACTCCCGGAGCTCGCAATCCGAAGACTGAAAAAAATCCTTTAAACCCGAAAACACTTTGGCATCTAGGCCCGCTCAAACTGCCGGGTAGCCCGCCGAAACCCTAAACTCCATTCCATGAGCCCTACTGCAATCCTAAACGCTCTAAATCCCCAGAGTCTAAGTTTCAATACCCTAGCCCTAAACGCCCCCAAAATCCCAGAACCCCCAAACCCTGAACCCTAAACCATCCTGAAGCCCTAAACTCTGAGTTCCTTACAGGCATCTTTCAGCAAGGCCCAGTGTTTTTCAGGGCAGAGGCAGGGCCGCGTAAAGCTACTGCTGGGAGCCCACGTAGCACCAGAGGAAGGTCTGAAAAAGCCTGTTCCTTTTCAGGGATTTATTCAAAGGTTCTGTAATGGATGTGTCGAGGGTCTGTAAGGGTTCCATGAAAGGACTGTTTTCTGCTTTGAAGCTCTAGGGTTGAGGAGTTTAGTTAGGGTTTTATGGCTTTAAGATTGAGATTTCTCGGTAGAGTCAATGTAGGTTGCTCACATTCACGAATCCAAACAGTGCACAAGCCGAATTGACTGTCTCTATTGCATTTCTTTGGCACGCCGCACCTCGGGTATGCAAGCGCAATGTCTCTACAGAATCAGTGCGGCTGGTCACTTCAACCTTGACATGGGGCATGGGGGCTTGGACATCGCAGCATACTCACATAGTTGGCTTTGCCCCAAAGACCATGCCACATAAGGCTTGTGGACTAGTGACTAGTGAGCCATACGTAGTGCAAACTGAACCTTTCAAAGCCCTACTCGTAGCAATTGGCTCCAAGGACTGTGGACTTCGGAGGTTAAGATTTCCAGTCCTGCGCTGGTGGTCTGAGAGTAGAAGCCCGAAAGTTGGAAACCCAATAGCCTCAGTCCTAAGAGTCAAGTATAGCCCAAAGGGTCCTATGTACTGTTATGGGGGATACTTCCCTGATTCATGATAGTAATTCCTATGAAAACCCTACATTCTACTATATCGGTACATAGGACCCTTTGGGTAGGGAATTACAGCACTAATTGTCCTTGATCCGGTATCCAACTTTCTGGCTTCTACTGCAGGGCAGGGCAGGCTGCGGAAAAGTTTCAGCGGTTGTGCGCTGTATGTCGGGTTTGTTGGCACACAGCGCTGGGGAGTGCACTAAGGTGGCTGCTAGACTACCCCAAAAACCAAACCACCATTGCGCAAGCAGCTCAGACCTTACATTTCCCTCACCTTGTGCTGAGAAGAGTCGGAACACCGCCTAGGTCCACGATGCGCTTACACCTAGCAGCGAAGTTGCGTGGACCTGGTTTCTCTTCCACCCGATCACGGATGTATCTCAATTCAATTAGCAAAGTTTAGGCCTAGCGACTAGAATTCAATTTCCAGGGTTTACAGCCTTCCTGCGACTTCGGTTTTTCCGGCTCGCCGCACTTTGGGCACAACGGCTATGTAGCAAAAGCACAAACCAGTTGAGCTACGGAGAAACATTCCGTCGCTGAAGCTGTGCTTTCAAAATGTGAAAATGAGCAGACATACTTGTGCGATTTTGCGCAAAGCATCCTTCAAAAATCGGAAACTGGCCGTACCTGGCGAGTGGAGTATGCTATGTACAAAGCAGCCACTTGGTGGATCCTAGTGGTGCCCGCCTGGCATCTTTGCCACCTGCGAGAGGGGTCTCGGAGTGTTTGTGTAGGGATCCTGGGGTGTAAAGCTTGATTTGCAGTTGGGATAGGGGGGATTTTCCGATCAGGGGGTTTCCGAAATTACAGGTACCATATTTGGGGGTCCTTATTATAAGTACCCTACTACTTGGGGTGCTATACTGGGTTCCCCTCTTTTCGGAGACCCCCTAAACCCTAAACCCTTTATAGAACCCGTATAGATCCCTTTAAGGAACCCTTGAAAGGAACCTTAGGGTCCCCCATTTTCGGAAACTCCCATTTTCAGACTCGAGATGCAGGTCGAGATCTTAGGCTTCGGCGGCTTCGGGATTTCCGACTTACCGGCTCTTTCCCGCGCTGCTGACCAGCTTGCGGGGGGGTTTAGCCCCTACCTGGACCCTCAAAGTATGTAGAATGTTGTAGAATGATAGCCTTTTAATTGGTTTTTCGGCCGTTATTTTACCTACTTTTGGGGGTCTAGGTATCAGCAAGTCACACGGAACGGCAGGGCTGGCAAGGAGATTCACAGGCAGACTCTGACATGCTTGGTAAAGCCTGTTATGTGCCAAATCAATGGCTCCCACACAGCTGCACTGCACCTTCTGAACTCTGCTTCTTGCAGAACTTGAATCCAGCGCATTGCTCTTGCAAGACATCGAACCCTGCAGCCCTACACCACCACTTCTACAGGACCTCCTAAGGTCCGCTTCCAAGTCCAATTGGGCAGGCACAACCTAAGAGTCCAACAGCTCCGAAGCGAACCTACGGGAGTTTCCGAACATAGGGGACCCTCATCTAGTAATTACCCTAAATAGTAGGATCCTTCTTATTTATAAGGACCCCAAAATAAGGTATCCCAAATCTTCGGAAACTCCCCTATGGCTCGAAGACAGAACTGCGAAACTTCAGCCTGTCAAAGCGCGCAAACTTCACTGAGACCAAGGCTTTCAGTTGCCGTTTTGGGGGGTCCTACTTTTTTTTGGGGGCTACCCTTAGGGTTTAGGGTTTAGGGGGGCTACCCTAAACCCTGAACCGTACCAGGACCCCCCAATGGCCCTTTCATGGAGCCCTTACGGTCCTTACTGGGTGGGTATGTTGGGTATATCAACGAGTACAGTCGGGAGGTCTTAGCAGTTAGCCGGGTCCTCACGCAAGCAATCAGCGACTCCAATTATAGTAGGATCCCTAATATGATTTAAGGAATATAACCTTGAACCCTTTAAAGGATCCCTAAAATGATTTAAGGAATATGACACTATAGATCCCTTATAGGAACCCTTAAAGGATGATCTAAGGAATATAACCCTATAGATCCCTTATAGGAACCCTTAAAGGATCCCGTTAAAGAGATCCTTGGGAGTCTCTGGGCACTCCATGCAGGCCTCCTCGTGAAATGGTCTCAGCGTAACGTCCAGGTAGGGAGGCAGGTCCGGACCTGGTCGGTGTGAAATCCAACAAAGAGTGCAGATATATATATATATATATATATATATATATTACATATATGTACATGTAGTGACAAGGTAGACAGGAATGGTTGTCTGGTGCACTGTGGGCTTCGACAATTGGGAAAGGAATTCGGTGTTTTCATGCCATCTTCGCTACACCCTATCTATCTATCTATCTATCTACTTGCCCATCTATCTATACATGTACATATATATACACACATATACTTAATATACACACAAGCCTGGGAGCCACTCATACTGCCCCTGGACCCGAGAGCTGCAACCAAAGCCTACATTGGTTTAGGATTTAGCATCGTTGCGATCTCTTCTAGCGGTTTAGGGTTCAGGGTTGAACGCGTGAAGGGATTAGGCGTTCATAGCGTCAAGGGTTTGGGACAACATGTGTAGAACATCAACACCTCAAGCTCTTGCGTGTTACATGAAGAATTTGTCGATATTGCTGAGGACGGGGCATCGGAGCCGGTGTGGCCGCCTCTGAAGGAACTGCACATGATGGCGTATTTGCGGCGTCATTTGTGAATTGCTGCAACCCAGAGCGAGGTTCCGCCATCAACGAAGGCCCCCGTGCTGATGTGCTGATCACTAACTAGGCTTGACGGGGAGCGGATGATTGAAGCATCGCCTGCCCAAAAGGGCCTTCACAGTTTTCTACTCAAAGCGGCTACTTTCTGAAACAACCACAAGACTGTCTGTCCCTCGTGCTGGGTGTGTAGCTTCTCGTCCGCATCTTGGAACACACCCAACCTCAGTCAGCACAGCTTCTGAGAACTTGAAACGGAACCTCGCCAAAGAACAACCGCTTGCACAAGCAGGATGCCTGGTAACCCTAATTTATACACATCAAGCCACACTGCATAACCGCCTCGGCAAGTCCTCTAGGCTGGTAATGTCGGAAATCCATTATGGAACCCTGCGCCTTACAATTCCTAACAGTTCACTAAACGACAGGGTCACATGAACACAACGGCGGTCTTTATCGGTGCGGCTTGCGTTTGGATGGATAGTGCTTGATCCCAGCAACCTCCTCTGCTCGTCACGCCCGGCCCGACCGAAGGTGCAACCAGGTCCGGCCTGTTGCACATGGCGCGGAAGGCCAGGGAATCGGCTGTAGAGGAAGGTTCGGGCGGAGTCGTGTGAACAGTAGGAGTCCACTACACCGATTTTGAGCACACATGAACTTCCAGTGGAATGCTTGAGCATCGTGTAGCAAAAGCTGACAGGTTGTAAGGAACTAAGTGCTCATGTATAAGCATGATACAACGGCAGCGTCATCATTAACCAGCCCAGGCTGTTGAACATCACGGTTGTGACCTGCTGTAACATTGCGGCAAGAAGGATCTTGCATCTCGTGCACACATATTGTGTTGGCTGACGCCGCCTCCCTTCCAGCAAACCCTTCTCTCTCTCTCTCTCTCCCTCTCCCTCTCTCTCTCTCTCTCTCGCCCCCTCCCTCCCAGGCATAGCAGACCCTTCAAACCAAGAAACAAGCCTTGAATGCCATGGCTGCGGCCTTGCCACGAAGCAGGCACCTGCGAGGGCGCAATCGGGTCCATACAGGGCTTGGACCGCTTGCAGCACTAGCAATAAGTTTGCTGATGATTCATGTGTAATGCACATTTCTCTGCCTTCCCCAGGCAATAGTACTGAATTGGCAACTACGTTCAGGCAACCATGATGCGATCCCGTCCGCATCGAAACTCCGAAATATCACAGCAGGCGGTCGATCCTGCTTCTTCTTGCACGCAGCTGCCGGCCTGGTGTCATTACTACAGCTGCGAGCACCGCGTCTGGGATTTGTTCTTCGCCAACCTGATGCACGACAAAGCCCTCCGGCTCCACTAGACTTCGCAAGATTATCCATGCAATTGTGCACAAACTGTCAAACCTGGCACAACATCAATATGATAAGTTTTGCTGCGCTCCGTGGACTCACTTCGACTGAGGCTAACGCGTTCCTGCCGCGCGATGCTCCACTGAGGACCTCAGTTTGCTGCTGCCGCGCTGCGATAAGTAGATGGTCTCTTTTAAAGCGGATAACCGAGCCTTCCTTCTGGGTTGGCAAGTTCCACATCCACCGCAAATGAAAGGAGAAGAACCAGCCACCAACACCACTCAAC